TTTCACGAGTTGTTGTAAGGTGCTAAGAATGGTAAGACTCACTGACGATGCCAGTGAAACGTCTGGGAATGTACCACTTACACGGTCCGACTTTGGAAACTATCATGCATAAAATGGACTCCGGGCTAAATACGTTCCTCTAAATATTCCTACCAATATGACCAAGTTGCGAAAACAAGGTCAAGCAACTTCTATACAACAAAATTAGACTGCGACTACACAAAAAACTACACCATCTTGGTCTTATTATCTTCGATTAGTAAGAAGATAACTCATCGGTGAAATATGTTTGTGAAGTCTTGATAGGATCGCTACCTACGAACAAGTTAGGCTACTATTATGTTCTTATTTCTTGTTCTATAGAGCTCTATAACTTAAGATACATTGAAAATTAAATAAAAATAGAACTATTACTAAAACATCAAAAGGAATTACTTGGATTTGTCACAACAGGCAATAGAGACTGGGGCTCCGAAGCATCCGACGTCAGTTCGAACGAAGGAGAATCGACGTTGCCTGTTTCGCTAAACCGTCGTAAGCGCTCTTCAGCAACTAAGTGCTCAGTCCTGAGGCTAGGAATTCCCGTTACCAGACTGTTTGTCCTTGACTGTGCAGCTGTGCTGACTCTACGTATAGGCACATGTGGCAGCCGTGGCCCCGAATACCCAGCATTAGCACGACTTGTGGGATCACCTGAGGCTGACGGATTTGGGCTTCGATACTTTTGGCCTCGAGCTGTCTCGAGACCCGCCTCTTTTGGGCACTTGGCATGTGTCTGTTCAAGTCTAGAAGATAAAATATTTCCAGAGCTGATTGTATCATCGGGATTCGGAAGGTTTATAATCGAATTGCGGAACTGAAAATTTGGAATATAAACATGTCCAGATGCTTCGAGGTTAGGATCTATACCCACATCATGATAACTCAGGATTGGTTCATCCGGAGTGATGGCTACTCTTGTATTGGATATTGGAGAACGTTTGTCAGACTGAAGGTTTTTTGGGGCATCTGGAGTACGGCAACCATGCTCTGATGGTCGGAGGGGACGAACAGAGCAGGCAGCATTTCGAGAGCTACGAGATGTCGGAGGTTGCTTCGTTCCAGGGACGGATAAAGCATCTGCAGATGGTGGATGAACCGACTTACGGGCATAACAAGGTGTCAGACCAAGACTGCGCCGACGTGCACGCAATGCTTGCAGCTCAAGTGAGTGGCGTTCAGTCCAATCACGTATTGTTTCAAAATCTCTTGAGATATCCCCAACTTCTGTTACTGTTTAATGAATAAAAGTGTTTTAAGTAGGTTGTCGAGACTACCAGTAAATCATATATATGAATTGTGTTCACCCTATTTAGTTTAAAGTGATAGAAGTAACTGAATTTGCCCTGAAGGATATGAGTAGACACGACGTTTCTATTGGATTTCACAGCCTTACTTTACCTAAAGATATTTTCATCCAGATTGAACTGCAGTTTTGACCTCGCATATCTCTTATCGACACCCCAAGCGGGACTCGAACCATT